TCACTAATTATGCTCTTGAACTTAAACTATGAATTTAAAGAACTTCATTATTTGAAATAAGTTATTTAAGAACTCTCAGTGAAAATTGTACTAACTATAAACTGAGTAAAAAAGGTTATTTTCAAAATTAAAATACTTTTGTGCAGATTTATTTAAAAACAGTATTAATTTACAAGGTTGGTTTATGTTATTTGATGACGCACTGTGTGGTATTTAATCGAATAAGGCGACCAAATATATTTTTTAACCTTTAATTGAAAAAATTAAAATTTGTTTAGGAGAGGCAAGTAGGAAAGCCAAAAGAGAAAAAGAAAAGATTTTTTAAAAATATATGAATAATAGAATCCTCCCCTTTTTTTACATTTTGCTATAGCGCTAATGCATAAATATGATAAGACAAAGCCATTATACTTAGTTGAAAATGGCACTACTCTTTTCCTAACTTTCAAATCGCAATGAAACTGAAACCTTGGTTTCTTGTTGTTTTAAAGAATCAAGAAGCACTCCTGTTTACTATATAACTCTTGTTTTATATTATACTAATATAACAAAATATTTATTCAGAGTATTTTATATTTTAACTCAAAAATATTCCTAGGAAAAAAGCATTATTAAAGTGGCCAGATGATGTTCAAAGCTAAGGTTTTTAATTAGAAGACATCTATGTTTGCTCTGAAGATTCTTTAACTGAGTCAGCAGTATCAAAAAGATTTTGAGGTTTAGCTGGAAGTAACATCATCAATGTTTCCTATAAAAATGGTTTAGATTTTATTGGTAGTTTTTCCATGCAAATTTAAACAGAATCTAAACTAAGTAGTAATCTATTAAGCACGTTTCAAGCAAGTTTCAACTTTTTTGCATTGTTTTTATGGTAAAGACAAAAATATTTATTTTGCACATCAGCTGCTTTTTTGGATAATTGACACAGGGGCGGGTTTTGTCACTCGCCAAGGAGAGGGCTGAAAAGGTCTTAAAAATATAAAAAAAAAGGTCCGCATATTTTCATTTATAAGTAACTTTCTTTTTTATTTTATCCATATATTAGTCAATTTAATTCGTTAGTATAAAGGTCAATTTACAAAAGAATATTTCTGAAAAAAAGTCCTAAGGATAAGGGTAGGCTACTATCCCCATTGTCCCCACCCCTACCCCTAAAACCCACTACTGAATTGACCAAAACGGAAGCAAAACACGCTCTATTATAATAAGACCATGAATAAGAATTTTATGCATTTTATGGGTCATCGGATACCATGAATATAACTCAACATATATATCCGCAGCTTTTACAGAATAATCCCTTAATTTTTTTACATCATTTTTATGTTTGCTTGATATTGTTTCTAATATCACTTTAATGACGATATATTAGGTTATAATCAAAGCATAGTATTTTAACAGCCAACTTTGGATCAACAAAAAATTGTTGGCTAGTGTTGGCATTATTTGAATTACTAAACCTAGGATTAGGTTCGTCTACAACTTAACCTACTTTTTTCTGAAATTCGATTGTATTTAAAAATTCCTTTATTTGATAATGCCATTTTCGTTTTCTGATTTCATTTGCCATTTTCTAATAGGCAGTTAATCTATATATTTTATTTTCTTAATTCGTTTTGATTCACTCCCGACATGGCTGCAAGCAAACAATATTTAGTTAGGAGTTACTAGATAAAAAGAATAGAGTTATAGAAACGGGTGACACAAGACTTAAAAGATTGTATGAGAGAGGAAAACATGAAGATGGGAGAGAGTTCGAATGAGTTGATGCAGGGACAGATAGTGTAAACAAATGAGACTTTGCTAAATGGTGATTCAAGCGAGAATGAGTTTTAGCTAATGGAAAAAAAGACAATAACTCCTTTGAGCAGCAACCATGATAGCATTTGTAGAAAAGAGACAGAGAGGCAACTTTATAGTCACGGGAAAGAGGCTCAACCTTAGCAGACTGAGCGGATCCAACTACGTTTACGATGCGTTTTGGGACCTTGTCTAGAAGAGAAATAGCATCAATATAAAAACCAGCCCAACATTGACAACAGTATTCCATTCAGAGACGAATAAGAGATTTGTAGGGGTAGAGTGTGGAATTACGAGTAAGAAAATGATGAGCACGATAAAGAGAGACAACCTTAGTTGATGCTAGTTTAGCAATCAGTTATATATATGGTTTCTATGAAAAGTTAGTATTAAGCAATATTCGAGGAAAACATAAATAAAGTACTCACTGATTTGGTTGCCATTCATTAATATAGGAATGTCAACAGTGTTGCGATAGTAGTTTGCAGTTATATATTAATTTATAACTATATTATTAAATGGCAGAGAGTTGCCATTCATTAATATAGGAATGTTGACAGAATTGGATAGATGTAAGAAATTTTCAAATATTTGGATCCTTGCATGCAAATAAACTAAAATTTGTGTGTCTACTTAATTTTACTTTTTATTGTCAAATTAATAAAGTCTTTTGATGTTGCACCATAAATGTAACACCTTATAAATAAATTCGTTTGAGTGACTGTGTTACAAACCTTAGCATTAACTGTAGTGAGCATTATATTATGTTTAAGTGAAAAAGCCCCATATGGGCTAGCCCTTGAATATAAAATTTTGTATTCAAGGGCTAGCCCACATGGGGCCCATTTTGGGCCCATATATAAAGCCAACATAGGACCCACTTGGGAAAACCCATATGGGCCCCATTAGGACATGTTTGTTGGGAATTTAACGTTTTTTAACTACATTTATAGACCCTAAATATGCCTTATTTTGGCTAGCCCTTGAACATAAATTTGTGTTCAAGGGCTAGCCCACATGAGATCCATATTGAGCCCATATATAAAGCACACATATGGCCCACTTGGAAAAACCCGTATGGTCTCCAATAGGATATGTTCGCTGGGTCGTTACGACTTACTACTTTACTCTTTTGTTTGTTTGTCTGAGTAATTATCTTTTGCTAATACGTAATGTTCTAAATAATTTAATTTTTCATTTATGTTTGATGTTTTTTGGCTCTGCATTATATCATAAAACATTCCTTGGGTGATTTCTCTGATATCTGATAAACCTAAGATAAAGTCCGTTTTGATTTAAAAAGTACTGAACATAAAGTTTAAATTTATTTTAACTAGAAAAATATACGATAGAAATAAAATAACTAGACATATTTTTTATAGTTTATTGATAATGGCCCCCTTGTTCCAGAGTTGTTTACAAGGTCAAAAACAGTAAGGCCAAGGCCTACGCAAACATTATCAAGACCAAAGTCTTAAATTTTGACTTTACTTTAAGGCCAAATGTTAACAAAACTGTTGGTAGCAAGTGCTGTGACAATAAAACCACAAGTTGTGAAATTAGACCAAGGTCATGGGCAGAATTCAATTAGGTTATTAAAAAAATTTACTTATTAGTAAGTAAGTTTATGTTTTATAAGTTGGAGTTTATGTTAAAAGCAAAAAAGTGAGACCCATATGGGTCCCACATATGCAGCCCATACAGCTTGCCCAAATGGGCCCCAATCCACGCTCAGCGACAATTTTCCTTAGGCGGGATGTGGGCAACCCATTTGGGCCCCATCCCGTCCAAATTTAAAATATGTTAAATTTTTGTATATTAAGTTACGTTAAACATAGAAAATTAATATATCAATAACATAATTATAGAAGACAAATAATCATAATTAGCAGGTATAGAAGGTATTTCTTCACTTCTAGTAATGTCTTATAGTTGCTTACCTACAGTTAAAATAAAATAAAAATACCAAAACTAAAAACTAAAAGACCACATTTTGTAAAGTTAGACATATCTTTGAGAGACGTCTCTCAAAGATATGTCTGTAACTCTACAAAATGTGGCATAACTCTACATTTCTAGACATGTAGAGTTATAGTTAAATTTTAACAACACAAGAAGATTTAGCTGAACAGCTGCTCTGAACAACATCAAAAGACGTTTTTTGATGAATGCATTTTGTGTTCATTTTGTTAGAACCAGGACATATGCCTGCCAATGTACGACCATAGTTCGCATAGGCCACCTCAATTTCTTTATTGGCATTGCAATCAATATTAAGATCGTTCTATTCACAAGCTCGCACATAAAGCTAATAATTAAAAAGTTACGGCAAGAAAAGAGGGCGAGTAAATTCAGTGCGTTTTTGTGATTATTTTTATTTTCCGAAACCCAGCATTAGCATATCAATCATATTATTACCTGCTTAAATAAAATGGCAAAACATTTTAATCTATTTCAAGTAAACGAACTTTTAGATATTTACAAAAATAATACTCTCAAAATATTCAACGAACGTTTTCAAAAGTTATAAAATTATTTTTTAATCATAAAAGACGAAAACACACAGTTAAAAAAAGAATTAGATCAAACCAATTTTTCTAATGAATTTTTAAGCAAAAAATACGAAAAATTGAAAAAGTCATTAAATAATGGTAAAGTGAATATATCATCTCAAGTCATTATTTAGCATAAAACATTAAATCTTGAAAAAGAGTCTTGAAAATCTCGAAGACGTTGTAACAACCTTAGGTTTGAAGAAATTGAGGAAGCGGAAAGAGAAACAAGGAAAATTGGCTAAGCAGAAAGTTAAAAAGTTGTTTAAAGAAAAACTAAATATAAATGAAGAATATAACGCGATGAACTTAATATAAATTTAGTACGCGCGCACCGAACAGAAAAAAGTATAAATTTGTCATCTATTATAAACGCACAGAGCCAGAAGTAGGAAGGAAGTCTGTAAAAAGCATTTCGAACTTTTCGTGAAAAAGCATTTCGTGAAGGAACTTTACTGTAAATAAATAAATAAAACAAGTTTTCTGCTTTTGTCTTATTTGTGTTATTTAACAGTAAATTTTAATTATCATAAAATTTTTTTTTTTATTTGTACCCTATTATTTAAGAGTTATTATTTAATTTTAAATAAAGAAAATAAAAAACTTTGTAACACAATAGCATAATATTATCCACAAGTATATTGTACTTCGTGTACAAGTATTATCCACAAGTATATTGTACTTCGAGATATTTGTATGTACCAATACATGGATCACCAAACACTTCATTGGCAGCTTTAACAATGCAACTAGGTTTGGAAGAACAGTTGTATTTAACTATTTCAATTGACTTTTTTTTATTATCACATTTTGTATTAAATGCGTCTCCACCAGGACAAAGACCAGGCAAGGTTCTACCGTAGTTTGCATTTACCACCTCAATTTTTCCTTTTCCGTTGCAATCTATTTTCAAATCGTTTCCTTCGCAGGCATGTGCAATTTGTAGTTTTGGCTTGCCTAAAAAAGATCTTAATAAATAAAATAACTATTATCTTTAAAGTTAGACATTTAAACAAGTTTATTTAACAAAGCTATTTGTTATTAATCGATGTTAACTATTCGCAAGCAATTATGTTATATTAATTATTCTAATTATTCTACGCAAGTTATTTTATACTACTGTTAAAGTATGAATTTGTATTTTATGAAGATATTTATACATATATTACATGTTAAAACTAGGAAAACCGTTAATTCAACGTACTAGATACATGGGTAGAATAATTGCAACATGCTGATAACGATATATGAATCAGTGTTTTTTAAAAGGGTAGTTTTCTCCAAACTTCTTGAGCAAATCTTTTAAAAAACATTGATTCACATATAAAAAATTCTATTACACTTGTTTTTAAAATGCCGATAAATTTAAAGAGTCATTTTGCATTGCCATTTGATATATTTAAAGCAGTGCCGGATCAAGAGGTTAGGGTGGGGCTATTGCCCCGGGCCCCACAAATTTAGGGGCTATAGCTCTAGCCCCCCCCCACCCCACTTGATCCGGCACTGATTTAAAGAGTCATTTTGCATTTTTATTCAATATTAATTTTGTTGATAAATTCGTAATCATTTTAATATAAGTTTTTATTTATGATGGAGAGAATTATGTTTTAACGTTTTTACATAATGAGTTAGTTTTTAATTTAACACATTTAAGGAAAAAAAAATGATTTCTTTAACCAAAAAATTGCAAAAATATTCGGAGTTAATAATTGAGGAAGTCCTAAATAGCTCCAGAGGAGGAGAAAGTAAAAAGTTAAAAAACCTTCTCCTCCTCTAGGTAGGTGAGAGTAGGACCAACGACACTTAAATGTCGTGAATGTTAAAGCGTATAAATCCATTAACTTTAAAAAATTTTAAAAAAATAGTATAATATTCGCTAAAAACTTTGCTATAAATCAAAATTCAAATGATTCACTGTTTTAACAATTTGTTAAAAACTTGTTCAGCTTAACCAGAAAGAAATATTCAAACTCAATTTAATTTGTACAAGTTACTAAAGTAATTTTCAATAAAAATTTTAATATCAAATTAGACGAAGATGAATTGACTTGCCTTGGTTCAAGGTTAATTGTAAATTAGGAACATTTGATTTGTCTTTTATATTTTGACTTAAATTAAGTTATATCAAAACAATGTCATTAGTCATTGCATCATATCGTGTTTTTTGGATACCAATTTTAAGTTCTTTGGATTTGCAATGTTTTTTTATTTGACTAGTTTTGTTTTTTCAATAATCTTCCATTTTTACGATTTTGGTGTTGCGATTATTTCACCCTTAATTATCTATTGCAACTCACTAATAAAATAGTTATTCTAAAATTTATTGCTTACAATTATATCGCACTTCAAGATATTTAAATGTTCCTACGCATGGATCACCAAAAACTGCATTTGTAGCTTTAACAACACAAGAAGATTTAGCTGAACAGCTGCTCTGAACAACATCAAAAGACGTTTTTTGATGATTGCATTTTGTGTTCATTTCGTTAGAACCAGGACATATGCCTGCCAATGTCCGACCATAGTTTGCATAGATCACTTCAATTTCTTCATTGGCATTGCAATCAATTTTAAGATCGTTCCATTCACAAGCTCGCATAACTTGTGATTTGCCTACAATTTGTCAAAGTAGAAACTAAAATTTGTAGAAACATTTATAATTAACATAGTAACTTATTTCTTATTACCAATTTGTTAAAAAACCAAAATATTATGCAAAAAAATAAAATTATTCACATTTATATTCTACTTCGAGATATTTATATGTTCCAACACATGGGTCACCAAACACTGCATTGGTTGCTTTAACAGTACATGCAGGTTTGTATGAACAGCTTCTCTGAACAATTTCTAGTGAAGTTTTTTTGTTATCACATTTCGAGTTTAAGTCGGAAGCACCAGGGCAAATACTGGACATAGTTCTACCGTAGTTAGCATTGGCTATTTCAATAACTCCTTTAGCATTACAATCAATAATTAAATCATATCCTTCACAAGCTCGTGCAACTTGTAATTGAGGTTTACCTAAAAATAATACTTTTTTTAAACTTGAAAGACTGGTTTTCTAAGTACATTTTCAATAAATTCATATCATTTTGAAATATATAATACATAAAACACATAAATTTTGTATAAATGCATAATTATTTAAACAAATATGGTATATACGCTGTTAAAATTTCAATGCATATGCTTTATATATATATTTAATCAAAATTATATCAAATGCACAATACCTGCATAATACCACAACACATGACTCAGATTGCATGTTTCTCGCTTAATTCATTTGTATGATAATTAAATAAAAACTTCTACTACGGACGGAAATCTTTATTTTTAAACTAATTTTTATTAAAATATTTTAAGAGAGCATGGATATCCTCGTTATCAAATAAGTAAGTTACTTGATAACGAGGGTATCTAAACTAACTTAAAGTATTGTAATAAAAGTAAAGAGTTACATCCATAGTAGAAGTTTATATATATATATATATATATATATATATATATATATATATATACATATATATATATATATATATATATATATATATATATATATATATATATATATATATATATATATATATATATATATATATATATGTATATATATACAAACACACACAAACACACACACACACACACATAACATCTTAAAATTAAAAAATTGCTAAATCAACGTATAACCTATTGTAACTTAATAATAAAATAGTTATTCTAAAGTTTATTGCTTACAAGTATATTGCACTTCAAGATATTTAAATGTTCCTACGCACGGGTCACCAAAAACTGCATTTGTAGCTTTAACAACACAAGAAGATTTAGCTGAACAGCTGCTCTGAACAACATCATAGGACGTGTTTTGATGATTGCATTTTGTGTTTATCTCGTTAGAACCAGGGCATATGCCTACCAATGTTCGACCATAGTTTGCATAGACCACCTCAATTTCTTCATCAGCATTACAATCAATTTTAAGTTCGTTTCATTCACATGCTCGCGCAACTTGTGATTTGCCTACATATTATCATAATTTAAAACAAATATAAAAAATCTTATATTAATTAGTAACTTCAATTAGTTATAAAATATGTATTCTTTATTCACAGTAATAAATTAAGATTTGAAAGGCACAATTACAATTATACTCCACTTCAAGATATTTATATGTTCCTATGCATGGATCACCAAATACTGTATTAGAAGCTTTAACGATGCAAGAGGATTTGTTTGAACAACTGCTCTGAACAATATCGAGTGATTTTTGTTTGTTATCACATTTCAAGTTCAAATCATTTACACCAGGACAAATACTAGACATAGTTCTACCGTAGTTAGCGCTGACTATTTCAATAACTCCTTTGCCGCTGCAATCAATAAGTAAATCGTTCCATTCACATGCTCGGACAACTAGCGAAGAGGGTTTACCTAAAAATGTTGAGCCTTTTCAAAAATTTTAAGTAAAAAAAATCATTAAGTAATCAACATGTAAATCTTTAAGATTTGAAATGAAAGCGCATTCTACGTTAATAATATAAACTTTATTATTTTAAATAAAAAACACAATTAAAAGCAAGTAAGAAGTTTCACAAGCTTTTAAGGTTAATAGTAAGTCAATGTAAACATTTTAGGAAATATTGAATCAAAATTAAAAGAAAAATCAAGAAAAAGATACTGAAAAATAACTATTTTACAAAAGACCATCATGTCCCTGATAGTAACGCGCTCAACTTGTTTCCATTTTTGTGAAGGTTTGTTTTAAATAGTTTGGACATGAATTAATTAAATTTAGATATTCAAAGTACTTTTTATTGCAGATAAGAATGCAATAGGAAAGGTAAGCCAAGTGAAATGCAAAGCAGTAAAATAAAACAGACTGCTAAAAAATAACATTCCTGAAACAATATTGAAACATTATCTTAAATATAAAACATCTTAAACATATAAAGGATAATGCAACCAGTTTGTGCATTCAATCATTTTCAAGAAAAGTTCATGGAGTATATATATTCCAGATTATATATAAAATGGGATCTTCAAAACTTAACTATGGATTGACAAGTTACAAATTTCATAAAACTTTAACAAAAAATAAATAAAAGTTTAGGAATAAAGAATGACACTAGATACGTAGACCTAGAATTAAATAGCATCTAAAGACTAAATACAAGGTTTACTCACGCAATGATCTTTAGTTTAGGGAAGAGCGTAAGCTTAGCTTATTAGGGGGGAATAGGTAAAATAGATCATTTAATTCAAATGCATGTTGCAAAAAGCAGAAAGCTTGATGCCAGAACTTATTGTCAAATTTAACTTAAAACGCAGTGCTTGGAGTTTCCTACTCAATAATTTGATAATGATAATAAAATCTAGACTGAATTGAACTTTAAATCCTAAACTCGATATTTCGATAAATCTGAAGAAACTGATGACATCAGGAACAAAAAAAGGATTGCTGTAGTTCTAATAAGCATCGGTTACTACTCAATTTTACTTAGAAATACGAATTTATGTAATAGATAACTAGAACTTTGATTTTTTTTAAAAACCAATTTGACAAAAAGTGTTTTTTAGTTAAGTTATTCAAAGAAGTAAAAAAAACAGCGTTACAAAAAAAGCACAACCATTTAAAGCAGTAAAAAGGATAGCGTTATAAAAAATAAAACGATCATGTAAAGAAGTAAAAAGAGTACACTTACACAATACTTAGATAAGGTATTGACAAATCTTTAATTGCTCAATGTAATAACAATTGTTGTTTTATAATTGCTGCTCTTATTGAAGATAAAAAATTAATAAAAAGAACAGACCCGATGCTAGATTTTAACAAAATTTTATTAAACTTAATGATAATTTTTTTGCTATATAAATAAAAGATTGAAAATTTTAATTGCAGTGGTTTATGTAAACGTGAATAAGATTTACAAATAAACAAATTCAAATACTAGAAAAATTCCTTAAAAGGCAGTTACCATATTGTTTCAGTTTTACAAAGTCAAGTTAAGAAATTCAGTTTGCAGATTTTTTTCAGTTTTACAAAGTTTTAAGTCAAGTTAAAAAATTCTGCAAACAAATAGCAGAAAAAAATTTTACATTTTTAAATTATAAAGTGTAAAAAAAATCTTAATTAAAATAACTATGACATTCCTTAATTTTACATTTATTTATGTTATATATACATATGTATATTTATGTTTATGTATACATCGCTTACTCTCTTGGCTATCACCTAAATTGTTTTAATTATCATTAAATAAAATAAAAAGATGCTTATGCACTTTTTTGTTTTTAATTTATACCTTAAATTTATTTAACTTACTAGGACAAGGGTCAGAAGCACAGTTTTTGATTTCTTCAGTTGGTTCACTACAATCTTTTCCACCATTGGATGGTGCTGGGTTTGTACAGCTTCTTGTTCTTACAGAGATACCGCCTCCACAAGATTTTGAACATGCTCCAAAATGTGTCCATTCACTTATTCCTCCATTCACTACATATATATATATATATATATATATATATATATATATATATATATATATATATATATATATATATATATATATATAATTACTTAAAAAAAAATTCATGCTTTCAAAAAGATTTTATTTAAACAAACTCCCTAGGGTAAAATTTGTCAGTGTAAAAAGCTACCAAAATTAAGTTAACTAATACCAATTTGAAGATAAGTTTTGGCATGAAATCAAGCAACTATCCTGAAGATTTATTTGTTTGTAAGGTCTATATAGAAATTGTGAACTAGAAAAACACATCTTAAAACTCAGTTGTTAACTTGGTTTCAGAAGTCTAAAGTTTAAGCAGTCTTCAGAAGTCCTTTGCCTTTCAGAAGAAAGCAAATTAAAAGTTTTCAATCAACCTAAATCAATTTTCCAGCTACAGACTGAAGTCAGTAACCAACACATCATAAAATGTCGACAGCCTTAATTCCACATCTATTAAGGATACATAATGCTTTTCTAGCAAATTTATAAAATTATATAGTTATAGTTATTTATAATTATTACATAATTATAAAGTTTGTACTTTTTTAAATTAAAAGCTTTATTCATTTGAAATTAAAATTTTACATAAAACAGAAAAGTGTTTTATGTTTTAATCGAAATTTTTAATTTAACTTTGTTTTTTTCTAATTTGCCTCAACTTACTAAGTAACTTAGTCCTGAACAATGTAACTTAGTGTTGAACAATGAGGCTAAAAAGATATATCAACAGATGTTTGAATGAAAACTTTAACATCTGTTGACAAGTTTTGAAATTAAAAATTTTGCTTATTTTTTAGGATATGCTTAAGGTATTACTTAGGTTGAGTATTTTTTTGAGTTTGTTAAAGATGTTTCACACTTGCCTCGTAAAAATTCACCCTCATACCCTCTCCCAGGAATGTAGAGATTAGTGAATTTAAAAATATTTGGTATCAATAGAAAGCTCAGGAAAGTATGAATTATACCCAGAGTTTTTAGGTATAATTCATATTTTCCTAAGTTTACTATTGATACCAAATATCTTTTAATTTGATAGTACTAAGGTGAGTTCTAATTAAATATAACTCAAAGTTTTGGTTAATTAGAATTAAGAAATTAAAATTAATCATTTGCCTCAATTTTTTAATGAAAAACGGGATATTGTTCAAATAAGTAAATCATTAAATGCCTATCTATTGACCCGGAGTTAAATGTCTGACAACTCAAATTACTCTAAGAAACAGTTTTACACAAAAGATTACTAAAGTGATGTCAAAATTGTTTTTAAACTGTAATACATACGCGGGCCTACACCTGTTTGTACAAAACGATAATATAGGTCATGTAGTATAGGTTTGTACAATCACACAAACAGGCTTATGTTTTTCTTTGTTGATTTATTTGGTCTTTTTGTGTGAGTTTACTAACCTTTACTATAGTAGAGTTACATACTATAGTAAAGGTTAGTAAACTCACGCAAAAGTTTTATAAGAACCTTCTAGTTCTCTTTTTGCATGAGTGCACTATAATTTTACTATAGTTTTACTATAGTAGAATTATAGTGCACTCATGCAAAAAGAGAACTAGAAAGTTCTTATAAAAGCCTTCTAGTAGTGTGGGCTTGCTTATGAATGATAGCTTAAAAAACGATTGTATATGACTTCAGTAATCTTTTGTCAAACTGCTCCTAAGAATAGTTTGTTTGCTAGAACATTTTTCTCTAGAGCAATACATCCGCATACGCAAATTTAATGATATACTTTTTTGAGCAACTTTACTTTTTTCATTAGGTATTATAAGTGGCTTTTATAAGAACTTTCTAGTTCTCGTAGAATTGCCTCTAATTGTGTATAAAGTTTTTAAAAGTATAGAAAGATTTTTATATCTCAAGATTGCATTTTAAACCATCTTTATAAAAGGTTCATGTTCAAAATACACTAGTTGTATTAAATAACAATCATTTATCTAAAAATGACATTAGTAAAAACATTTGATTTGAATGTTCAGTAAAATAAAAGTAAATTAACTTGCATGGTGTGATATTTATAAAACACACACACACCAATCGTTTATTTGGCAGTATTAGTTGAATAATACGGTATACAGTATACATATAAACCATTTTAAAGTATAGTATAATTTTTGAATTTATTGATTTATAAAGTCAAAAGTGCTTTAGCAAGTTTGTGGCGAAACTCAAGTTTTAAAAGCGCTTCTTTAAACATCGTGGCGGACCTCGAAATCATTATTTTTATTGCTAATTATATTTTTTAGTAATTTAAATTTAGCAAAATAAGTTTCTTAACATTTTGCCCTTAATTAAACAGTATTGTCTTTAAATCAAGAAAATTTTGTAAAATATTTGAAATATTCAATCAAGTATTTTTTTATATAATTTTACAGTTTTAAGTAACTTGTAGGCCAATCTAATAGATATTAAAAAATGCCCCACCCTTTTTAGGGATAGGCAATCACAATATTTTATCATAACATTTTCCATAGCAACTGCCTAAATAATACATTTTACCCATTATTTATGAAATAACTTACCTTTTTTTAAAAATTTCTAAAATTTCCAAAAATTCTGGAACATTTCCGAAAGTTTTCACGAGTTGAAAATTTTCAGGAAATTTTCAACCCTACGATTACCGTATAATTTAAAACAAGCAAAAAGAAACTCCCTTTAACATTTAGAATGTTCTAAGGAAAAATTTGACTCAAATAGCTTTGTTTGAAGAAAACAAGTATGGTTTAAATTGTTTAAATAAAAAGTAAACAAAGATAATATTTTGGATGTAAACTTTTAATTATTTTTTATAGATTTTTCTAATAATAGTTTTATTTTTCTTATTATTTATTTACGACTAATAACTTATTTTTATTATATAAGATACAAAGAAGTTGTCAAAAAAATAAACAAAAAATGTAAAAAATAAAAAAAACAAATCTATCTACCAAAGAAACAACAAATTGCATTTTTAGATTTCATTTTCTAATGAAATTAAACTTGTTATGCCGAATTTTCGGTTTTAGTTTCGGTAAAATATTTGCCGAAATGACGGTTTTGGTTTCGGAAATTGATCTAGTATACCCATATTTTTTTGGTTTATTTCGTTTAGTGACGTTTATTTTGTGACATGACGTCACGATCGGCATAAGCCGGCCTTGCATTTTACAGAGCCTTGTTGTCTTAAGTTTAATAATTTCATAACTTTGATTTTTAAAAAGTAAAATAGTTTAATTAATTTATGAGATATTCTTTTTTGTAGATACTTACGTTTTTCTCGACTTTAGTTTCGTTACTTTTACTTTTAGCTACAACAAGTGTATCGATTCGTTTTAAAAAGCTGTTTGTACAATTTATTTGTACAAAAAACTATTTGCACAAAAACATATTATCAATTATCGCGTTGTAAGTGTTTCTTTTTTTTAATTTTCAAATACATACATTGTACCCTCAATGGTTTCAATTAATTTTATAGAGTTTATTTTAAAAATATAATAAAGAATAAGGCCAGAATTAGATGGTTCCTCACTCTTTAATATGTCTTTTTTAACTGTATTTTAACTGTACTTTTTGTAGAGTCTTGAAAAAGTAGATGAGGTCTTGTAGTTTAGAATGCATTCCACAAGCTGTTATGTTAAAGGGTAGTTTAATTAAATCGAAATAAAAATGTTTTGTTTTTTTTAAGTTTTTTAGCGGTTTAATGTAACTCTTTCCGATTAATAAGATTTTATGCTATGACTAAACTTAAAAATACTTTTTGGATTTAAAGTTGGAATGAAACGCGGCTGTAAACACTATAAAACAATTATATATAGTGATCGTATAACACTTTATCTCTCAGATGCTTAATTGGAAAATTTTGCCATGTTTCAAAAACTCACAATCCCAAGATACAGACAACTAAAATAACATTAGTTGTTCAGATATTTTTAAATTTAAAGAATAATATACTTTTTTGCTAATTTGCTAAAAATATTTTTAACCATGCCAATGTTAAATGCTAAACAGAATACTACTTTTTTTGCGTTTTAAAATTTAAACATTTATCTCCTGTCTAGGAACGGTCTAAAATATTTATCATTTCTACACATTCCCAAACCCTAGACAGATCCCATTGATATTTTAGTGTTATACAACGTTTATATGAAACATAATGGGAAATGATTGCCGAGTAAGTTTTTTGGTAACAGTTGTATAAATGCTTTATAAAGGGTTTTGTTCTAATGAATCTAAATGTTGTTTGAGAAACTAAATTGCTTCACCGCTGCTCTTAACAACAAATGCTTACCTGGACATTGTCGTAAACTACATGGTTTCTCTTCAATCATTGGCCCAAGACTACTGCAATCTTCTCCACTACCAAACGGAACAGGGTTAGTACAAGTACGTTCTCTTTTCATAACTCCAGGTCCACAACTAGTGGAACATTCAGTAAAGCTGCTCCATTCTGAATATCCACCATCAATTTCTAAAAAATGTCAACATTTTAAATATAATTTCATTCTCAATTTTATTAGACAAATAAAATAAAAGTTAAAATAATAAAGCATGGTTTTTACCATATATGATTAATTTAGTTTCAGTTAAATTTACTTACTTTCTTCACTTTTGCTAACATCATCTAAAAAATAAATATAGCCAGACCCCGCTTTTGCAACGCATTCTTTTTCGTGTTTGTGATCACAAACACCAATATAAGACCAAGAGTTTACGCAATCTGTTGACAACCACTTAGGATCTTTAAGAGTAGCAGCAAGTTTGCCAATATCAGTTTTTCCAACCCAACACTCGCCCCAAAAACGCAACGAAAAGTAGTTCATTTTCATATTTCTAGCAGCGGTGGCGCATCTGCACGCTAAACTGAGAATTTATTTTAATACATGAGTGTCATGCGTTTTTAAATCAATAAAATAATTTTTTGAAACAAATATTTTAAAAAAGTTACTTAAACACTTCTTCTTTATAAATAGCAGTAAAATTATTTTCTACTTTTCCTTTATACTTTTCATTTTTCATTTACAGCGATTGTTTTTTAATTTATTACAAATTCAAATTAATATAAGTTTCATAAAGTTATCATTAATAGTTTTAGAATAATATAGGTTAGTCGATAATAAATAGATTAAGAAAAACGGATAGCGAAGGTTAAGCAAAGTAAAGCAAATTTCAAATTTTTGGCTGAACTAATTTTTAAACAATTTCAGCGTTTTCACTTGGATTTGTACTTTGTTTTCTTTCTTCGATTGTCAATAAAATTGTAAAGCATTCTCAGTGGTACCGATTCGGTAAAAGAAACTGAATACGCCCTATGAGTTTCATTGGTTAACTGAAGAACTGTCACAATCAGGACCTGAGTGGAGTTTTATAAAGTTGGAAACTTAAAAATAAATAACACAATCCTTCTGAGTCTGATCTACTGCCTGCATCAATGCCGTCAACTTCTTTTGCTTGCTGTGCAAGAAGATTCTAAATGAAAGCAGTAGTACTCTTGATGGAAAATTTCCTTAAACATAAATCGATTTTTTTAACTAACTTAAATTCAAAAGGTGGTTTAAGTGTATCAACATTATTCTTGTAATTTTTGAAAACGGTTGTTGAAACCTTTTTTAAGTTTATTAACAACAGTTTTGATTTCAGTTGCTGTATTGCAAGTATTTATAGGAAAGTTTTCTATTGGAAAAATAAATGATATAGTCTTTGGTGTGTGTGCAGTGTCTGCAATCATGTCTTTTGTTACACTTTCATTGTGTTTTAGTATGCATACAAGCCTTCTAGCAACTTGTCGTTAATTTTCCGTAGGATTTTTTGGGTTTGTTGTAGTTCTGCTGATGAAATACAAAGCATAAACCTTTTTCTATTCAGAGAGCTTTTCGAAACATAATTATTTTTAAATATATTGTATTTTAAGTTTTATCTGGTAGAGACATATTGAATAATCATGTGTTAAGGAATTTTTTAGTTCGCCTTAATGTGGAAAAGTCCTACCGATGCTCAAAAAAACAGCAACTACATTACTAGCTGCTCTTTGTTCTCTGAAAATCTTCTTCTAAATAGAACGTTGTAAAGAATGTATGACGCATGCCTATGCCGATTTAAACTCCGTCAAGTGCTGCAAGAGACGGGGTAAAAAAATAAATATAAATATTAGTGTTATGACGTCTAACAACCGCTTAATACTATTTCCGATCTTTAAATTTTTTCTTATATTTTTAAAAAAATATAATAAGAAAAAAGTTTACAGTGAAAACAATGCTTTGCAGAGGTTGCAAAAACTGCTAATGTAAATATACTTTGCAGGATATGAGAAAATTGGATGAGGTAATTGGTTTACGCTATTAAAAGTAGCAATCTGTTTCGTCTAAAAATATTTTTTTTTTTTTAAATAATAGTGTAAACTATACTTTGCAGCATTTGCAGAAGTTATTTGCTTGGTTGCAAATATACTCTGTTCTTTCATGAAAGTATTTTCAGGGTTGCCAACTGGCATATTTCAATGCAAAATTTAGTACAAATGACATTATCGCGTGTGTTGTCATCCATTAAAATTTAATAATGGATCACCAAAGAGAAATCATTTCTCTTTATGGAAAAAGTAGTGCCCCTGAAAATCTTTGTCTGCATCAAACCAAATTTATTCAAAATATTAAAAACTTGATCTCATTATCAATTGAGTCAAAAACTTCTGAAACTATGAGACATAAAGCATTTTTCTGATCGATAAATCAACTGATAATTTTCACAGTTTAACTGCTGTGATATTAAATGATAGTGCAGATCTTTTTGCTGTTTTGGAAACAAAGTTAAAGTCTGTTAGTTTGTCATTAAAAATCTGCTTCGGATATTGCTCATATGTAGTTTCAAATGCCATTAGGGTTCACAACTCGATTTGGTCTCGTGTTCGGAATTACATTGGTCTCATTTCAAGCTGTGTTATTGACACTTAAAGACTTCAATTGGGTTTAAAACATGTTAACTTTAAGGCAAAGTTTTTATCAGATTTCCAACAATATATTAATACTTTTCCTGAAATCCAAAAAGAAAAAACATTCAAATTATTCTAACACATTGTCTTCAATTTCTTTTTCGTCTTTTGAAAGGTCTTGATCAGAAATTTTTCAAGGTCTATGTTTCCTTTCACCATCAAAGGTTCTGAATCAAAATTCTAAAGTGCTGATTACTTATCTAACTTTAAGGTATTATGAAAAATAAGGTACAAAGCATTGTGGATCAGTACAGAAAAATAAGTTTGGTTCACAGGTCTTCTTCAGAGCTGTTTGAAAATTCTTGTATATCATAAGATAAAACTAATTTCGACACTGCAGTTCGTCACAAAAATATATCACGAAATGCAGCATTTATTTAACTAGTAGACTATTGCCTTACTTATTCTCTCTATATCAAATGCTTTTATTAAACATGTTTCTTACCAATGTTAAAAACAAACTAAGTAATAAAATGTCATACAAATTGTTGAGTAGTGTAGTGAGAATAAATTGCTGAGTAGTGTAGTGACAGTAAAAGCCTATTTAGCTAACCGCAACAAAAGTTGTAAAGACTTTAAAAACACTGAACAAAGTTAGTAAATTTGGATTGAACACGTATTGTGATGATAATGAATCAGTTCAAGATGACCTCACTTTAATTAATGATTTAAACTAAAAGAAATTTGATACTGAGACGCATTTATGTGAAAGTCTTATTTTATTATTCTTTTAACAGAATTTGTTCTGAAATTTTCTTTAACTAATCTTTTTAAACTTTATATTTATAGATAATAATTAAATATTGACTGAATATACTTATCTATTTAATAAATACATAAATAATATATGTTAGGCGTGTTTTTTGCAAAAAAACTGAATAATATATGACTTACATAATTTTATTGAATATATAATTTATAAATGAGGTTTAATGTATTTTTAATGAGTTTTTCTACTGTTTTAAAGATTGACATTTTTTTGGCAGTATGGATAAAAATTTGGCAATCGTCACTTATTTTTGGTTAAAAAAGTTTTCTAGGTTGAGGTATTCTAAAAGTACTGATGGGGCATTTTGTTTATCTTTATGTATTATTTGGCATTAAATTCAAACTAGGATCACGTTAGTTAACACATTTGTATTTGGAGCCTTTCAATAAATGGTTTTATGCTAGTAGATCATTTTTAAAGCATGAGTCAACTAAAAATGGTTTACATGCATTTACTATGCCTATATTCAATATATTTTTGAGTCATTCCTCAGGCCTACGTCAGCCAATAAATATCATTATTAATACTAATGTTAAAGAAAAAAAAATTGTTAAATACTTTGTTCTATTGTTGATGCTGAAATATTTTGCAGTCAAACCAAAGCACCTTGGAAAAGCCGCAGAGATGATTTCCAATATCTTCCAGAGACTGAAGAATATTCAAAATGTGTAACTGGTTATTTTAATAAACTTTTAAATTTTATTGTGCGCAATGGAAATGATGTTTTGGACTCTCATCTTAATAGTTATTCAAAAAATACCTTCTAAATTTTAAAGACTTTACAAAATGAAACTATGAAATGCTGTTGTGAAGAAATTAGTAAATCTATTTTTTCTGAAGTTCACAAAAATGTTTCGTTTTTTTCAATAATTGCAGATGAAGCTTGTGATTCATCTACTGAAGAACAAATCTTATTAGTTTTAAAATTTGTTGATAGCAATTTAAGCATTTTCCATGATGCTAGAGTTTTTTAACTAGTCAACCTTGATCAGCAAAAATTTATTTTTGGAATTATTATTGAGCATTTCGGCTCACCAAAATGAAAGACGCTGTGCCCAATATATTGTGTTACTTACGCTACTTACCTAACTATATTACCATGTGAATGTAATGGCTACTTTATAAATTTGAAAATAAAAACTACCTGTGCACTGACGCTTCCATGTTTCCCCAATCAATAAGATAACCTTGGTATTTAGGATTAGTTGAATCTCGATCACTGATCTCTAATGTCATTGGTCTTAGAGCAAGATCAGGCCTACTGTTTATTTCTTTGAAGCAACCAATTTTACTAAAACTTCTTTGACATGTCACGTGAGCATTTGCACCTAAAGAATTTTTTGTTGTATTAAAGATTAATTAGAAATAAGTTTTGCAAACTGCAGCCTACTGAAATATTATAAAGTATTATATGATGTATTAAATAACGAAATTTCTAATATTATTTTACATACAACATTGGTGAACTTTACTGCACCCAAGTCAGGATATTTTACAAGTAACATTAGTGAACCTAATTTTACCCAAGTCACGGTACTTTTGGTTAAGTTTAATCCCTTTTAATACAATAGTTAAATTATCAATTGTTTGTAACTATCTTAGGTAATAGTAGTAATTTTTAAAAATACTTCTGGAGCAGAAACAAAATTTAAGCAAAGTCATCATTAGTTTTTGAACGCTAGATAAAAGACCTTATCTACGTATATACTAAATGTGCCATTAAGTCTATCCATATTAGAAAAAGATCTTAACATAATTATTTTATTCAATATATCATTACTATCTATTGTAAAAATAGTATCTAAGTGCAAATGTTAAAACATCTCAAATGTTAAAAACAAGTTCAACTGCAATTACATTAACAATAGTCTAAGATTAAAAAAATGTATTTAAAGAAAAAAAGATGAGTAGCAATTTTTAAACTTTAAAGTTACTTTTACCAAAATTTACTGTTTATACAAAATGAAGCAATACAACATTCAATAAGCTTGCTAATGATAATAACAATGGTTATAACATTAACAACATGTGCTAGCTAGGATATGCCTTACTGAAAAAAAAAATAAACACAACTATAAATAAAAAGTGCTGCCACAGAACTTAAAATTAAATCTATAAACTTATAGAGAACCAATTGAATTGGATTAGCAAATTATATAAGAAAAATATTGATAAACCATAGAAAGATAAATGGTTCCTTTTTTTGAAATGCAATCCAAAACATTTTTGAAACTAACCCTACTCATATCAATCAGCTATCGCTATTCTATTCTTGGTTATTAATTTCTTGCTATGAAATAAAACAAATATATTTGGTACCGTATTGTTCATACGGTATAAAGAAAATTTTTAATTAGCCTCTCTTTTTTAACAAAATGATTGAAAGGTTCCATATGATACGTTGAACTACCTTTCCACATAAAAAAAGTAGACTGTCAATTGCAGCCTACTTTTTTGGCAATCTTTTTTTGCAATCTGTCATATATAACACAATGTTGTTCTCAAGTCTTTTTATTGAAAAATTTGATTTTTTTTTTTAAAAAAAAGCATTAGTTCAAATAAACTTTCCTTAAACAAAAGTTAAAAGATTCATTGTTACCTTCGACTGAAGCAATGCTCGATGTTAGCAGAAAAGTTATCCAAAATATCTAAAAAATTATAAAATAATATGTTGAGAAAATTTAAGTTGTTATAATTTACTTATAGATTTCACTTTTTCTTTTGTCCTAGAGTCTCTTCTACTTTTTAAAACCGTTCAAATACTATATAACTTGCTTCCCTAGTATCTGGTTCTAATTTAGCTTATAAGCAAGTTAAAAAAGTTTAATAAGAAGTTTATTTTAAGCAAGTGTTAAGATTATTTTGAAGAAAGAGAAAGAGAAAGTAGTGTAAAAAATGTTACCATTTTTAGATCTCTACTTTATGCCCACTTTATTAAAATGCACTAACTTTTATAAATATGCTATTTATGGATCAATTTTTAATTATCAAATGGATTTAATGTAAATTAATTCTTTACGTAGAGTATAACCGTCAGTTAACATATGCAAACTGATAATAAAGTGAAAATCAGTTTTGCCGTCTGCAATTACAGGTGCAGTTAGCACGTTTTATAATAAAATTAAATCTAAAAAAAAAGGATATTATAACAATACCTTAAAACAAACAAAAAAATCCTTCTTTTGTAGTTACTAAAACTTAACATTAATTATCATATGATTATAATATAAACTAGAAAAGTTAATTTAAACTTTTATTTTATAAGTTTGAACATATTTACTTAAACATATGGCTCTGTGTTATTTATAATTCAAGAAAGTTCATTTTGGGAATTTTCTTTTTTTTAAATCTTTTAATTAAGTCATTAAGTCATCTTATAAGGCGGTGGGAAACTTTTTGTGACCCGCTTTCTCGTTGGCGGTGGAAAATTTTTTGTGACCCGCTTTCTCTCCAGTATTACTAATATTTTATATTTTTCACCTTCAAGAATAATTTAACAGACAACAAAGAGATTGATAAGATTTGTAAAAAAAAAAAAAGTTTGTTTAAATAACCCAAACAACGCTGTCTGAATTTTTTTTTATTATTATGGCAATTGAGTTTAAAGGCGCTTTACTATTATTTTATCGGGTAGTCTGATATTTTTAAACACGAAAACAAAGTAACGCATTTTTATTTACCTCGTTTCAGTTATTTAACAGTTTTTTGATTTGGTAAAATAACTATAATCAAAAAATAGTAATGACTTTCAACAAAAAATTGAGAAACACACTTTTTAAAGCTGAACAAAATGTTATCACGGTAATTTGGTAATGAAAGTTTTAGTAATGAGTATGCGTATAGATTTCAGAAACGCACCTAGTGAAACGTGAAAAGTGAAACGCATCTAGTGAAACTTCTTGAAGCCGTAGTGTTATAATTAGAACTTTGATTTTAAATCAATAGGTTTAATTTCTGCTGAAAGATCAAACCCTATCTAGCCGTAAAAAAGGATATTTTTTAGTAAATCTGCTAGAATTCTTTTGATTAAACGTTTTTCACCAAACGTTTTAACAATATAGCTTTTTTTTTTTAAGTCTTCTTCGAGAATTTTAAAAAAAGTTTCAAATTATTTTCCAAGTTTTGTCTTTTTTTATATTATTTACAAAATCTAGTGCATAAAGTCGTATGAGCTAATATCTGTTGTTTTTAGTTGAACCACTCTTAAAACCTTTGAAAAACTATTTTTTATACAAATTGAAGGATCGCTAAAGTATAGTTTTTATTAAACAGTTTTAGCAAACTCTGCTCTTTTTTTCGACAATAAAAGTTGAGGAAGAGTCCATGTTAAGTGAACTCCAATCAACTCTTTTTCGGCGTACATTAGTTGGGTGAACCTAGCTAACAGTACGTTTTAGCACCTTCTAACATCGGGAACTCCGCTCCGCTTTCTCCTTTTTAACTCAACTACTTCTGCTCCTGTCTTTCACTCTCACATATCTTTGTTCTTCCGAAACTCACTTTACTCTTGATCCGTAGAGCGGGTTATGACGCTCCCTGGGGAGCCGAACCTGTCTTTGCGGGCCTTGGTAATGTGGCCTCTATATGGCAATTAGCCGGAGGAGGATAAACAAGCAAACTTTTTTTTTCCTTATTATTGTTTTTATTTTAATTTTTTGTGAAACTTTTTTAACAAAATTGTAAATAAAAAGATGACACTAGATCTCTCTGAGCTGAAGAGACGGGAAATTAAAGCTTCTTACAAGGCAAAGTAGGTGTTTATTTACTACAAATAAAAAAAATGTTATTCGTTGTTCGCAGAGTCTGTTTATTTTTTGTTATTGTTGTTTAGTTATTTTAATTTGAGATTTAAATATTGTTCAATAACCGTTTTATGATTTTTAATAATTGATAAAGTTATTAATAAAATTTATTAAAAAGTTATTAAAATAATCTAAAAACTAATATCTAAAAATTAATATCTTTCGTTAATGACTTGTTTTTGTAACTTTGACTTTTGTATTACTTTAAATTGTATAACATTTTTACATTTTACTTTTGCAAACAGATCACATGCATAATTTTCAGTTGAGAATAGAATATTCAGTTATGAATAGCATATAAAAAATATTTTTTTTTTTTTTTTTTTTTTTTTAGTTATTTAGGTGCAGCAAGAAGTCCTTACGGTCTTATTACAGAGCATCGCGGGGAGAGCTATAGCTGGACGCTGGCTATAGCTGGACGACGAGCTTCGGATCTCTGGGTTCTAAACCAAAGCTGTAACCATTACAGCTTTTTAAATTGTCACAAAAAAGAAGGCTTGGAACAGAAAAAAGAGAAAAATAAAAGATCTAAGATCATTAGTTTTTAGAACAATATATATATATATATATATATATATGAATATATATACATATATATATATATATATATATATATATATATATATATATATATATATATATATATATATATATATATATATATATATATATATATATATATATATATATATGTATATATATATATATATATATATATATATATATATATATATATATATATATATATATATATATATATATATATATATATATTTGCGCAGTGGAAAATCACATGACCAAAAATCTAAAAAGTAACTTACTTCTATTAGTGGCTTTTGTTATTAACACTTTAACTAAAGACGTCTAACTTATGAAATTCTAAATGTGACAAGCTCAATGGTAGTGGCTTTTTGAAGTTATGTTTTTAATGCATTTTTGATAAAATATTTAAGATGCAGGGTTTCAGTAATTATTATTATTTTAATAAATAGATCATTGAAAAATTGACAAAATAAACATCATTTGAAAGATTATAATATAGGCTGTTAAAAAGGAAATTAAAACATTTCCTGAAAAAGTTGGTATTACAATTTTTATGCATTAAAAGTAAAAAATTCATCGCAAATATTGAAAAGGCACAAATTGAAAAAAAGTACTAAATTTCAACTAGGTTGAAGAATTAAAATATTTTTTTCAATTTGTGCCTTTTCATTTTTTTTATATATTTTAGTCTATAGTGTCTACTAACTACCCTAAAAAGTGTGGCTGCGATCATTATCGATTTTGAGCATTAAATAATTTTAAGCAAATAAAATTTCTTCAATTAATAAACAGTTTCTTTTTTTCATTCATTACTAAAATTAAAAAAATTCTTTTTTAATTTAAAAAACAATTTTCAATTGTTTATGGTTTTAAAATAGATAATTTAAGAAAAAATAGTTCTAAAGTGCACTTTTGATGTCCCACTGATCGACCAAAAACAAAATGAATTTTTAAATGTTGTTAAAAACTTCCTTTTTACTTTGTTAGTATATTCTTGTGAACTAAGGTAATGGAGGAAGACAAGTATTGCAATGCTTTCAGGTTTCAAAAAATACTTTTAATAGAGTAGATTGTGGGTTTAAATACATTATTACTAGGATTGAAGTCAGAGAAGACAAAGTAAATTTATTAAGAAAGAGATTAAAACTAACTATTGCAAAGTATGTTGCACTATGGCATGCATCATATTGAAAAAAGGAAATATTTGATAGTAGAAATCAGGTATGGCTTAATTTGAGATTGACTAAAAAAAAAGAGTTTGATCAAATAAAAAGAGTTTGATCGAATAAAAAAACGATTTGCTAGCAAATATATTATTTGATTCAAAAATGGAATTTGTCAAAAAAATGTTGTTAGTGTCACAAAAAATAGCAAATAAACGCAATTTTAATTCAGTCAAATTACTTAGTATTACAAAGAGGCGACACGAATTGTTATTGCTTTACACTCAGCCACGTTGTAATAGAAAATGACGTCTGAAAAAGGTTTTTCATACTTCTTAAATAATAAACTTTTAAGTGTTAATTAAAATATCCAAAACGAAGTACCATGTAGATTTCCATCTTTTCGAACCATTTTGAAATAAAAAACGAGTGCTCACCTTTAAAAACATCCATTGAAGTTACTAAAACAAAGGCCAAAGTTAAAATGACCTAATGGATCATGACCTTATGGATCACACCACCAAGAGGCTTGTGAAACTGCAGGAAAAGAAAATTTTAAAACATAAGGATTATAGAAAAAAAGACTTTGATGAACTAATACTAATTAGTAATTGGGGTATTGACGGAGCATCAAGTCACTCAATCATCAACGTTTTAATAATTTTAATCAAAATAATCTTTACGATTCGGATCTTCACAGAAACACCTGTTTGACTATATTCACAGAAACACCTGTTTGACTATATTCACAGAAACACCTGTTTGACTATATTCACAGAAACACCTGTTTGACTATATTCACAGAAACACCTGTTTGACTATATTCACAAAAACACCTGTTTGACTATATTCACAGAAACACCTGTTTGACTATATTCACAGAAACACCTGTTTGACTATGTTCACAGAAACACCTGTTTGACTATATGTACATTTAGATTTAAACAATATTTTATGGAATGTTAGCAGTTTGTTGACTAAAGGTATGCTGAAGCATATAAAGGAAAATAAAGGTGTGGTATTAAAAATTTAGTCCAAAATTAAAAAAGAAATTCTTTATTTATATCTTGTTAAAGTTTACTTTCCAGGACAGGAAAGATTTGTCACATATGGTCAGGCGTTGAACTATGGCATTTCACCACTACATGCTTGGATAAGGTTTTTGAATTTATACTACATATTTCAAACAGAATTGAAATAAAATCTTCGAAAGTAAAAAATGTTTCAAAAGTCTAATATTTATTGATAAAAATTATTCATGATAGGACATTTAAAGAATATGGTTTGAGAGTTGATGAACCATGAGCCGGCAGATCAGGAACTAGTTATGACGAAAATTTATGCTTACGAGCATTTTTTGATCCTTTATAACTCAGCAAAGTTTTAGTAACTGATAAAGAAGATACTATCAGATTACATAACTTCCTAATTGTAATCAATTGCAATTGCAACTGATGTGTGATAAGTCAAGATTCATGAATCTCAACACAGTACTTATAAATTTGATCGTGAACACCATGTAAGAAATAAAAAGCAGAGAAAAAAACTTTTTGTTATATTCATACTTCTGATCCCCTAATTGTAAACATAGTTTAATAAAAATAAATTATAATATATAACATAGTTAGACCTGCTCTTGTAGAAGACCTCCAATCGTTATCACATCGTCTTAAAGTTCTTTCTCTTTCTCTTTTCTATAAATACTATAATAGGCACTACTCTAAAGAGCTAGCGTCTTATGTGCTATCAACTAAAATTCGTTCTCGTGTTACTCGTCATTCAATTAATTCTTATCCTTTTACTGTAACTGTTTCTTAGCGCTCAAAAAATCCGTATTCATCTAGTTTTTTTTCCTCGAACATCAGTTCTTTGAAATTCTCTTCCTTCATCTTGTTGTTAACTGACTCATTTAGTTTACAATCTTTTAAGTTGTCTGTTAATTGTTTTCTTGCTCTATAAACTTCATCTTTTTTCCTCCAATAATTTCCAACTCTAATAGTGGTTGCTTGTCCTGTTGGAAGTGAAGATGTTAAAAAAAAATTAGTTTAATCTCATTAAAAAAAAGATAGAAATATAAAAAAACATTGTGCCTACCTAAAAAAGTAAAAAATTTTTTAGCATTTTATAGCAGTTTATAGAGAAAATTCATCTGATACGGAATCAGATGAAATTAAGGTGGCATCACTAAATAAATCTCTAAAAAAAATTTTTGTGAAAACTTGTTTTTTTTTAGATTTCTTTAATTTTAAATCAAATTAACATAGCTGTAAATGTTTCTGGAATCTATTTTGACATAACTTAAGTATATTGTGAGTTATTTTACTTCTTTTAAACTTAATCAAAAATATTTCCTTTGCCAACAGTCCCTAGCAACACTAACTTTATATTAAGGTTTATAAATACCCTCTTTCTTTGCCCTGATTGAAGTTTTTTGTCAGATTTGATTAATTACGCATTAGTTTAGTAGACCAGCTTGGTTTTCAAATGTTTATGATAACAGAGTGTTTAAGTTGCTCGAGTTGTTTGCTTCAGATAGTGTTAATTTGTGATAATTTCTCGTGGTGTTAGTAAAGCTTTTTGTTTTCCAAATTTGTTTTGTATAAGTTATCAGTTTTGCTTTAATAGAATACTGCATACGGGGGAGTAAATAAAAAAGCAAGTTTTAAGAGAATCAGAAAATTTTGTGGCAATCAGTGGAACATTACAGTAAACCAAAAAACGAAAGGAAAATGTCAAGCACGTTGACTCAAAAAGATAAACTCCTGTTTCTGTTAGTGCTAGCAAAGTTTTTTTAATAGAAACTGAAAATGATAGTAACACAGAAGTCTATAACATTATGATAATCTTCTCTATTTTAAATAAAGTTGCTGGTAATGTTTGGAGATGCCCAGAATGGAGCAGTGGTATTATTGATGTTGATGACAACAATAAGCAAAGTGGATTTTCTCGCAAGTTAAGTTTTAAATGTTTCAAATGTATTTTTCAGTATTGCGCATATACATCTGATGATGTTAAAAAAACTGTACCTAGACAAGACAGAAACTATTAATAATAGTCATTGGTTTTCTGAGAAATCGGCAGGGAACACTAATTCTTAGTTACTTTGCCAGAATTGAAAAACCAGAATTCATTTCCTGTGTGAACAACAATGCATTCAAAAAAATCAACATCACTATTTAGAATGCATATAAGTTAACAGCAGAGCACTCCATAAAGGCAGCAACAGTAATAATTAAAAATAATATTAAAGAGGAACATAGTGGGTCAGGTAAAAAGCTCATTAGAGTTTCTTCAGATGGCTCATGGCAAATACGTGGACATATTTCGCTAAATGGTGTGGTGGCCACAATCTCCGAATGGCGATATATTGAATTTAAGTCTTTTGCAAGTATTGTAGGGGCTATTAAATGTGGAAAAGAAAGCAAAATTATCTAGGTAATGCAAAGTGGCAGGTTAATTATATTTGCTCCCTAAATCATTCATCATCATCATCAGGGGCAATGGAAATTGCAGGTGTAGTAAAGATCTTTAATCGTTCTGTTAAAAAAATGATTTAATTTATAAATTATATTTGGGAGACAGAAAAAATTAATTTGGGAAAACTTTATTTGGGAGACGGAAATTCCTCTGCATTCAATAATATTCTCAACAGTAAACCGTTTAGAAAATTTTAAATTGTGTTTTATTTTAATGAAGTAACTGCTGGTGTTTAAAGATTAATGAGTCACGTAAACCTTGAAAATGGCGTAAAAACCGCAGTGTCTTCATTTTTTAAGGATCAAAAATGTATTAAAAATATTAACAAATAAGACACTTTAGAAAAAAAAAGAAGATTGTGATTAAATAAATTGTTTTTATATGACAAGCCTTCTGAGCGTGTGGTTTCAAAACTCAGCCATTTTATAAGGACAGAAACATAAACTACTATGTTTACGTGATGATCCACCAATTTTATGGCCAATAATCTTGCATCTTGCTATTTCTTAAGAACTGTGATTGAATGGTATCAAAAAAATAATGTTGATTTGATAACATTGATAACAATGACTTTGATCTCAAAAAACATGAATCCAGCAAATGTGCTGCAACTTTGTTCAATTGAAAAAAAAAACTTTATTGATTTAGGGGAGCAGTATAACGAAGTTTAAAGAAAACTGCAGTTCAAAAGCTTATGCGAGCTGTCTCATCAAACTGAAAAAATTTTGTAATCACCTCAAATAAATATTTTCTAAAATCTTTACTGTATTAAGCTAAAAACAAATAATTTATTAAATATTTCATCAAAAACTTGAGTAAAAAATATACAAAATTCAAAGTTTGTTACAAAAAAATGATACAATCTTTGTTAAGCTTTAGCGTTTTAAAACATCCCAAACTCTTTCTTTTTGCGCTATAAACGGATCTGAACTGCCAAACAATATCTGCATTCGTAACTTTTCTTAAATATTTTTTTGCATAGTGTTATCTATAATTCTATTGTCTTTATTTGCACTTTCCTGCGTTTATATAGTATTTTATGTACACTTTGATGATTAAGAACCATGATAAAACAAGCATAGAGCTCTGCCATTATTTGGTATATTTTTCAAGTTCATTAGCTTTAATTTAATGTTTGCATGACAAAACACAAAGAATTCGGTAAAAAACTTTTCATGAGATTTTGATCTTAGCCAAGTATTTTAACGGAGAAGTTTCGGAAAACTTAACGGAGAAGTTAGTTTCGGAAAACTTAACGGAGAAGTTAGTTTCGGAAAACTTAACGGAGAAGTTAGTTTCGGAAAACTTAACGGAGAAGTTAGTTTCGGAAAACTTTTCCGACCATTTCTTTTCCATTATTTTTAGTTTTTTAGTTTCAATTACTTTTGCAACAAAACAAAAGTAATATTCAATGCAGCCGCGACGCTGTAGTTTAGAGTTATGGCTCAGAACCAAGAAGTTTGAAGTTCGACGCCGGCCCTAGCCAAATATACAACATTGGTAAGGAAGGAGGCGTAAACTCCGAGTTAAATGGTGCTCTGTGATAAGACCCTAAGGACTTCTGAAAGCAACTTTATAATCAGTCATTATTTGTAAACAGAAAAAAGCAGTTATTATTTGTGAACAGAAAAAAGCATAACGACTAACACATTTTCTCTTCTGACATATTTTCGTAACCGTTGCCCGCATATTACTATCAGAAGAAAGCTGTAGTAGCTCGTATGTTTCTGATCAGGATCTGTACCATAGCCAGATATGAATTAAATGTAAAACATTTTTCGGCCATGATAATTGAGTTGTCACGATAGATGTTAAATTGCATGTTTTGCCAAGTTTAAACATTTATAAACGTAAAATTTTTCAGATATATTAAAGCGGCTGGTCTATTTTAATAAATTAAGTGTTGCAATTGACTTATTTTAATTTCAAAACATGTAATATGTAAAATACGTTGATAGGTTAATTTGTGCATAAACTGACTGATTACGTGAACTGTACATTGCATTTATTCTGCATTTTATACTTTTTATGCATAAAATACAGTAAAAACTGATGGCATAGTTATTGAGTTATACAGCGAGTTCGTAATAACAGCTTTGGGTGGTATTTCATAAGTTGGGCACAGATTCAAATCTAACGCTAAGTCAATTTTACACTTTAAAATTTTTATATCGTTTTAGGTTTCTGATTGACATAATTATCTATTTTTTTTTAAATGGCTCATATAACTATGAATACACTTTAATACACTATGATTAATTATTTAGAATAAAGTTCCCACAAATTATTTTAATATACATAGTCAAATACATAAAAAAAAAAAGTAGTTGGGTAACTGACCAAGCAACATTAGATGTTATTGTCAGATTTTAATCAAAGTTTAACCGAAGAATAACTAATGTTATTCATAAACAATCTAGAAAAAAATATATTGCTAATATAACATTAACATGCATTACAACACGTAAAATACCTTAACCTGCAACTATACACAATGAACTATATACAATGAAACTAATTAATATTTTTATCACTCAACGCCTCCAAAACTCAATCAACCTCAAAACTCAAATGGAGCAGCAAGTCATCAGAGCATTGAAAGCTTTTTATTGCAAAAATTTTGTTAGACATCAAACTGATTGCATTGATTGTATGTCTACATTTTATATTCTACATTCCTAAAACCATAAATATGTTGAACAGATTCAGGGACGCTTTTTCGCAGATAATATACCAGATAGGTTGATACCATAGATAGCTTTTACCATATCTCTTTGGTGTACCAAAAGAAAATAAATTAGAATGAAAATAGTTAAGAATAACCTTGGTGTTACAAATAGTTGGTAACTAGTGTGACAATGTCATTGTAACTTCTATTAAAATTGATAAACGTATCTACCAAAGTTGAATCAAGTTGTTGCGGCAATCTCATGTTTGAATCATTCTCAGTTTTTATATTTATGTCGTGGACAGGCCTTTAAAAATTTATAACTGGTATAGTAATTGATTGAACAACTTTGTCGAGTGAAAAATCTCCGCCTTCAACTTTGCCTCTGCAAGTACGACTTTAACTGAGAGATTTTATTTCTTCTTTATTGTTTTCTTGCGTACAGATCTTAATACGAGGTATATTTTATATTAGAATAGGTTTGATATAAAATTTATGCGAAGAATTTATATTGATTCGTAGTTTAATTTAGATAAAGTTAATTAAGAATTAAAATAATTTATGTAAATAAAAATATATAAAAAAATAAAAAAATTTATGCGAAGAACTTATATTGATTCATAGTTTAGTTTAGATAAAGTTAATTAATAAGAGTCCCATTATAAAGTTAACAATCACCGATTCTATCACTCACCGATTCTATTTTTAACTCAACATTTTAACGGAAATAGCAAATTTAATAATAAAAAAGAAATCTGTATCGGCAAAAAAAAGTTATACCAAGATACGCCTAAAGTTCAATCATAGCTACATTTTGTTTTAGTTTAAAAAAAAAAGTTTTTAGGCTGTAGAAAATTTAACTGTTTACCAAAAAAGTTGGTATATTTATAATTCCGTTTTTAAAATCAATTCAAAAGTCTCCGTTTTTAAAATCAATTAAAAGGTTATTTAATAATAAACCCACGGCTGCACGACATTTTAAAATATTTTATTTAAAATTAACTTGCATTTAGATAAAACTGCTCACCTTAAAATGCTATTATTGAACTTTTCAATACCATATGTCTTTTGATTAAGACAAAAAAGTATTATGGTTATTTATCGATATCTCCAAAGCATACTGTTGATCATAGAGTTTTACTTTTAAAGATAAAAACATTATTTTACGAAAGACCTATTTTGTAATTGGGTTAAAAATATCTTTATAACAGAAAATAGTTTGTTGCGTTAATTGAGTTAGAGGCTCTTTGTATTGTGTGCGAAGTCCTAAATGGATCAACCTTGGGACCATTGCAATTTTTAATATATTTATTTATTTAATATTTAAGTTATATTTATTTATTTAAATTTATTTTTGTTTATTTAATATATTTATTTATTTAAAATTTAATATATTTTAATGCAATTAATATATTAAAGATAAAAATAAATTTTCTAAATAAATAAAGTATTGTCCATTAAGTATGCTGACAGTAAAAAACTTGTTATATAACCACTCAGATGTAAAGATTTTATTCAAAACAATGAACACTGAAATCGAAATATGTCAAAGTTTTCAATTATGAGTCTGTCATTATGGAATTAATTGAAATATAACAGTTTAAAAAATATTTTCTTTTTAAAAACATTAATTAAAAAGCATCTTCCTAAGTATTTAAATTTTTTTTTTTTTTTCGCTCTTAGTGCCCCAAGAAGACCTAACGGTCTTGTCATAGGACACTGCGGAAGAGCATATAGATGGGAAGTTCACGCCTCCTTCTTTATCAATGGCACGAAAATATGTCGAAAGCTTGTTTTAAACTCTGGATTTTGTTACTTCTAAAGCAAGCGCTTTAATCACAGCGCCACAACCGCTTTGATTGTGATTCGATTTTTGATTTTGCTCCAGTCCAATTTACGAAGTCCTTACTGCATAAATATACTTGGTTCGATACCTCCCGGACATTATAACTTTTTTCAAGTGCTGTGCTTTTATCGTTAAATGCGATTATAGCCGAGTTCAAACTAATCTCAAAAAAAATTCCCAATAAAAAAGTCTTTCTGACATTAATTTTAATTAATGCCTACATAACTTTAAGTAATACTTATAATATTTGCATTTAACAAAAAGAATTGATTTTTTTTTTTTATTCCGCAAGTGTATTTGCCTGATAAAATCAAGTTATAAGTTTCTTGGAAAATAATTTTGATATTTGTTAAGATGTCATCAAAGGGGGAAAGATGTCATCAAAGGGGGAAAGGTTTGAACTATCAAACCTTGCTAAAAAGCATCTTTGCACTCACTGATCGTATCTATGCGTTAGTTATTTATTTTGTTCCTAACTTCAGTGTTCTTATAAAGGGTTTTTAATTTTAGGTCACTATTATAGATCATAATTTTCTTCTATATTAAGTCTGCGGTAGTTCATTCCTCTATAAATTTAACAATTTTTTTCATTTGATGAATTAAAAATTTGTTGCAACCATCACCAACGAGTGTCGAACCATTTTAATATTATAAACTTACATCCTTTTGCCATAAGTGTTTTTTTTGTTGTGATTCAATTTTATGATAACTATTTCTGTAAAAGTTTACAACTGGTGTTTTTTATGAAAAAAATAAATTCTCTCATCATTAAGAGAACTTCTAATCCCTCATAGTGTTATAAGCATTTATGATAAAAACTGTGCTGGTCATTAACAAGAAAAAGTATATAAATTTCTCCGTATGTGCCTTGAACACTTTATCAATAAGCTGCACAAAAACTTTGAGGCGTGGATATACTGGTTAAATACTTTTCCGAGGTGATTTAGGTGATGTAGAAATCTGGTAACGGTGATTAGTAGTAGATAATAGGTTGTAATAGACAATAGGTTGTAGTAGATAATAGATTGTAGCATAGCTCACTAAAATACATGTATATGCATGGCCTACTTAAATGTATTTAAGTAGGCCATGGATTGTAGTAGATAATATGTTGTACTAGATAATAGATTTTAGTAGATAATTTGTTGTAGTAGATAATAGATTGTAGTAAATATTATCTACTGGAACCTATTGTCTACTAAAATCTTTTATCTTGTACAATCTATTATAAAAGGTTGTAGTAGATAATAAGTTGTGTTAGAAAACAGGTTGTAGTAAATAATAGGTTGTAGTAGATAACAGATTGTAGTAGATAGCAAGTTGTAACAGATAATAAGTTGTAGTAGATAATAGATTGAAGAGGATTACAGGTTGTAGTAAATAATAAGTTGCAGTAGATAACATGTTGTAGTAGATAATAGGTTGTAGTCGATAATAGATTGTAGCAGATAATAGATTGTAGTACATTATAGATTTTGGTAGATAAAAGGTTGTATTATATTGTAGTTGTTAGCAATAAGCAGTAGGATGTTTCAACAGTTTCTTTATCTTTGTAAGTAGGTAAAGTTTTAAATTTAGAAAAAAATTTATTTTTGTTTATTTCATTATACACTTTTATACAATCTTTTTTTTATTGTTATTACCTTATAATTATCTTATAACTCATCCATTTGGCATTTGGTCCTAAAAAGACGTATATGAACGTTCAAAAGACGATATGAATGTCTTTTGATCAATGAAATGCCCATTCGGCAGCTCGAAGGCTGCTTGCAATGCCGTCAAGCCAATAATTCCAGTCTAATTCTTCAAATTTGTTAAAAAAAAACCATGGCAATGCTAAGAAAACATGGAATTCGATTAAAGAGATAATCGGTAATAATAACTGTACAAAAAGCAATCTCCTGAAAAAGAAAAATTGATGGTAAATTAGTCAGTGTTAAGATAATAATAGCCGAATATCTAAATAGCTTTTTTCTTAATGTGGGTCACAATTTAGCAGCAGAAATTCCGTTGAGTTCTGCAACATTTCATTCTTTCTTGATTAAGAACCTTACCACAGAAAAGATTATGAAAGAAACACATCTAGATTCTAATGAATTGCGATCCGCTTTAAACAATCTAAAAAACAACAAAAGTGCGGGCTTTTATAATATCAGTAGCTTTGTCGTAAAATCAGTATTTGATATCATTGAACCATCATTGCACCACATCTTCGATCTTTCGCTAAAATCAGGCATTGTCCCGAATAAACTAAAAAATTGCTCGAGTCACCCCTATTTTTAAATCTGGAGATGATTTTGATACTAATAATTATAGACCTATATCAGTTTTACCATGTTTTTCCAAATTACTAGAACGCGTCATGTATAATAGACTTTACAAGTATTTGACGGAAAACAATTTTTTATACGGTAAACAATTTGGATTTAAAAAAAAGCACTCAACCGACCATGCTATAATTGAGCTAGTTAATCAAATATCTAATGCTTTTAGTAATGATTGCTTTACGCTAGGAGTTTTTATTGATCTTTCTAAAGCTTTTGATACCGTAAATCACGACATTCTTCTAAAAAACTCGAAGTGTATCGAGTAAAAAATAATAACTTACTTTGGTTTAAAGATTATTTATCAAACCGAAAGCAATATATTCAGCATGAAACAACAAAAACAACAAACAGCGCCATAACTTGCGGGGTTCCCCAAGGCTCGATTTTGGGACCATTATTATTTTTACTCTATATAAATGATTTATATTCAAAATCAAACTTATTAAATTTAATCTTGTTTGCGGATGACTCCAATTTGTTTTATTCGCATAGAGACATTAGGACACTTTTTAACATAGTTAACAAAGAATTACATAAAATAAACGAATGGTTTAGGTGTAACAAACTCTCTTTGAATGTCAAAAAAACCAAGTTCATCCTATTTCATAAACCAAATAAAAACGAAAATATTCCTCTTAAACTACGTGATCTTAAAATAAATAATACTAATATAAAAAGAGAAAATTTTATAGACTTTCTAGGTGTGGTCTTGGATGAAAATTTGTCGTGGAAGCTCCATATAAACACTTTAGAGAGAAAGCTCTCAAGAAATATTTCATTAATGTATAAAGCAAAACCTTTCCTAAATATCATTTCCTTAAGAAGTTTATACTTTTCATTAATACATAGTCATCTAAGCTATGGTAACATGGCCTGGGCAAGCACAAACTGTACTAAGCTTAAAAAACTCTACAGTAAACAAAAACATGCCTGTAGAATTGTCTTCGGAGTAAGTAAAAAAGCGTCTAGTGAACCTCTTTTAAGCAAACTTGGAGCATTGAATATATACAAAATTAACATACATCTTGTTTTACAGTTTATGTACAAAATAAAAAATGGACTATCTCCGCCGATATTTCAACCCTATTTTAGCGAAATAAGTCATAAATACCCTACTACCCGACGGGCATTTGTTTTTAAAAGTTACGTTCTAAATGTGTTTTAAATGTCTTTTAAACGTCTTTTAAACGTTAATGTTTAAAAGGCGTTTAAAAGACATTTAAAATACATTTAGATTGTAACTTTTAAAAACAAATGCCCGTCGGGTAGATTCTCGTATAACAACTTTGTCATCCCAAAATTTACATTAAAGTTAAATTCATACTCAATCCAACACCGCGGACCTTATTTGTGGAAAATATTTCCCCAGATTGTTACTATCAAAAGAAATACACTTGAACAGTTCAAATCTGAATCAAAGCGTTTTTTATTATCTACGGACTTAAATTTTCTTTTTCTTTTTTTAGTAAAAAAATAAACTAGCACAATTTATTTCTTTTATTTGTTTTAACTTTTACTTGTTCTAAATTTATTTTACTAAACGAATTTATATATAAACAGTAAATCAATTGTAAAACGTAGTTTTTCACATTTTTACATATTTTATCACAAACAATTTATCACGATTTTATATATTTTGTTGTAAAAAACGACCTGTAATGAAGTCACTATGGGGCTCGGTGATAAGACAAACTGATGTCTTCTTCTTGCTCCAGCCATTTGTTTTATTATTTATGTTAATTTATAAATTGTAACTTTCTACGGCAAAATTAAATATAAAAAAAAAAAAAAATCCAGCAACCACAATCACCAAACTTAACAGCCACCTTCAATATTTCACCTTTTCCTAAACAACTATAGTGTCTCTACACAAATCCGACCTCGCTGTCAAAAAAATTTGAAGAAATCAACTTTTTTCTTGTTTATAAAAACTATCCAGACGTACTCTGTTTCTGTGAGACCTGTTTCGACCCAGACAAACCACATTTGATTGAAAACTACTTGAAGTAGTAAGAGATTACCAATTCACAGACATTTTTTATTTTCAACCAAATTTTCAACCATAAATTAATATTAATATTGAGGTTAACATTGAACCATGTTGTATATAAATTATTTAGATAAGAAATAATTTTTTTATTTTAAAAAATTGATTTTTTAAAATAAGTGTTAAATTTTATTTCTTGTTATGAAATATTATGAAAAATTCTTAAAATGACGTCACGTGATTTTTCTTAATAATAAATTTGATCTGGTGTTTTTAACTTTTCTTCTTCTAATCTTTCCTTCTCTAACTTTTCCCATTGTAATTTATTTTTATTTTTAAAATAACGAGCTAAACTTATTCTTCTTTTATAACCCATAAATTTATTAACTTCATCTTTACTTGTACATTCCATTTTTTTAATTTATGTAAAGAATTTAAATTTTCAATTTTTTCTTCTTGCTTCTTATTTATATCCTTTTTCATGTAAATACTTTACAACTTCAAGATGACTATTTTCTCGTCTCATTAAATTGGAAAAAGCATATTTAATTAAATTTTCAGGTCCTCTTAAATTTAAATCTTCAATAAAATATTTAAGAATTTCTAAATGTTCATTAAATACAGCACACATAAAATCAGTTTCATTGACTTTATAATTTAAAGATATTAAATATTTAACTACATCTAAATATCCATCTACTACAGCATTATTAATTGCATCTTTTGTACCTTTATACCCTAATTCATGTAAATATTTAATTACTTCAAGATGACCATTCATTGCAGCATAATTAATTACATCTTTTGTACCTTTATACCCTAATTCATGCAAATATTTTAATACTTCAAGGTGACCATTTTCTGCAGCATTATTAATAGCAAGTTTATTACCTTTATACCCTAATTCATGTAAATATTTAATAATTTTAAGGTGACCATTTTCTGCAGCATAAGCAATTGCATCTTTTGTACCTTTATAACCTTTTGAATGTAAATATTTAATTAGATCAAATCTATCTATTTCAACAGCAAAGTCAACTTTATTTTCAAAATTATCGTTATACCCATAGTTTTTTAATATTTCAGTTATATAATATATCTGAGATGAAGGATTAATTATTTCGTTTTGAATTTTATTTTCCATTCTTTTTTATATACACAAGAAAATTATTTAACTTATTTTTCAATTTTTTTTATTTTTTGTAAAAAAATAAAAAGATTATTAATTCTATAGTCTAATTATCAAATACAACTTCATCTTCATCATCTTCATTATCATATTCAGTAGTTTCTGTAATTTCAGTAGTTACTGTAGTTACTGTAGTAACTTCTTCTTCATCTTCATCATCTTCATCATCTTCATTATCTTCATCATCTTCATCATCTTCATTATCTTCATCATCTTCATCATCTTCTTCATCTTCATTATCTTCATTATCTTCATCATCTTCTTCAGTCATTTCAATATCATTATCGTATTCAGTAGTTTCTGTAATTTCAGTAACTTCAGTAGTAGTAATTGTAGTAACTTCAGAATCTTCAGTCATTTCAATATCATGAATATCAATTATATTTAATTTTTCTTCAATTAATCTTAATCTTTGTTCAATTGATTTTAAAAATGAATTTTGCATTTCGTTTTCCATTCTTTTTATATATAAAAGAAAAATTATTTAAATCATTTTAAATTTTTTGATTTAAAGTATTTTTTACAAATAATAAAAGAAAAATGTATGATGATGAAATTAATGAAATATCAGAATTTCAAAAAGAATTTAAACTTTTTGAAGAAATATTAAAATTTGAATTTGAAGAATCAGATTCTGAAGATGGCACTTATTATACATCTGATGAAGCTACTTATTATACATCAGATGATGAAGAAGTTAAAGAAAAACCTATAGTTCCAATTCCTTTAAAAACAGTTCAAATCATGGAACTGCATAAAGATAAGCTGAAATGGATTAATTATGTTCCAACTTATAATGTTATTAATGATGATTTTCCTGCTCTTGATGATACTTCTTTTAAAAAACATTACAAAAACAGAAAATTTAGTTTTGAAAAACCATTTAATGTAGATATTAATTTTACTGAAGATGGAAAACCTTCAACAATACATTTTGTAGAGAAACTACCCATTTTCTGTAAAAATATTTTAAAAGATAATTATTGTCATTTTGAACATAGATGTAAATACAATCATGATATTCCTTATTGTAATACTGTAAAGGAAAGACTCATATGCACTAAATCTTCATGTCAATATAGACATTTATCTCTATGTTCTGAATACCCAAAATGTAAGAATAAAAAGTGTAGATTGTTTCATCCCAAAAAGTCAGAATTATTAAAATTAAGAAAAGCTAAAACTAAATTATGCAAATATATTCTTGATAAAAAAGAATGTAAAAATATAAATTGCAAATATGCTCATTATTTAAAAGAAATTGAAGAAAATGTAGAAATTTGTCATTATACTCCATGTAAATTAGTAGAGAGTAAATTAAAGAAAAATAAAAAAGGAGAAAAAACATTAATATATAAAAATAATGATAATAAAAAGTGTAATTTTTTACATCAAGGTGAAAGCATTTTAAATTATATTGCAAGAACTTTAAAAACAAAATAGATATGAGGATTACAGAGTGATTTAAAAAAAATCTTTACATTTATAAAATGTATAATAGTAGAATGTTTTTATATTATGAAAAGAATGAACAATATAGAATAAATTTTTATATTAATTCAGATTTAGAACATAGAGCAATAAATGATAGACATATTAAAGTATTCGCACAAGAAGATTTTACAGTAAAATCAAATTCATATAATAACATTTCTTTAATGTGTGGTGTTGAAATAGATAAAGGACATATAGTGATTTCAATTGCAGAAAATTATAAACCAGAACTAAATTTACTAAATTCTATTGTAACAGAGTCTACTGACGATATTAAAATAACTGTATATAATAACGATAAAAAAGATATAAACATTAAAAAAGGAGATTTGTTATGTTGTATATCAACTTATAATGGTATTTTAAATGTAAATTATATATTACATAGAGATGCTTTAGAACATGCAAAAGAAGAACAAATGAGACAACAAAATGACTCAGGAACTAAACAGAAAAGTGATAAAGAATCTGTAAAATCTTTATTATCAAGTATAGAAGAAGTAATTAAAGATAAATCTGATGAAGATATATTTAATTTTGGTAAAAAGTGATTTAGCGAAGCATTGATAACAAAAGTGATTTAAAACAAATTTTTCTTTATAGAAAAAAGAAATGCTATGTAATAATGGATATAATAATGAATATAATAATGAATGTAAGCAGCTTTATCCAGATCTTAACCAGTTTTCAGAAAATCCATCTGCACCACCAATTTCAGATCATAACTTTAGATTACAAAAGATTAGTGAAATTCAAGATAAAATAGAATGTGAAAGGAAAAGAAGAGAGATTTTAAGTAAAAAATATCACAGAGCTGTAAGAATCATTTCAGCAGTTGATAATACATTACTAGCAAGCACTATGACATTAGGAGCTGTTGGTATTGGTTTTTTAACAACAATAGTTGGCACACCAGTAGCTATTGCATCTGAAGGTGCAGCATTAGGTATGGGTGTATTATCACTAATAGGATCACAAGTTAATAAAAAATTTACAATAAAAGCAGAAAAGCATGAAAAGATTAAAGTACTAGCTGATGCAAAACTAAATACAATAAGTAGTCTTATTTCTAAAGCTATATCAGATCAATATATTGATGATGCAGAATTTAATATGATACTTTCAGAACTTGAAAAGTTTCAATCTATGACTGAACAAATTAGAACAAAATCTAAGAATGATATAGATGAACAGACTAAAGAGTCACTCATTAATCAAGGTAAAGAGAAAGCAATGAAAGAAACTATGGAATTGCTAAATATAAGATTTAACAAAAATCAGAATATAGGAGTGATGAATAATACTCTTAATAATTAAAAAAACATATTACTTAAACATATATTATGTATTAAAAAACATAATATATGTTGATTTAAAAAATTATTGCTTATATAAAAATGTATGCAAAAGCTACAGATATTGATGCAAGATTAAAAATAGCAAAAGAACTTGAGGGTTTAAAGAAAAGTGTATATCAAGATTCTATTAATGAAAAGTTAGGATATGATGCTTTACAGACAAATTTGGAAAAAATGTACAAACCAATAATTGATAGTCAATCTGGAATAAAAGAAGGTATATCTAAATTAGAAAATAAAGCTAATCAAATAGCAAATACTTTTTCAAATTATCCTGCTTTACTAGATTCTGAAACTAAAGCAATCATGCCACCTGAAGTTGTAGATAACATGAGATTAGGACCTATCGCAACAGAATATTTAAAGTTATATACAACTAAAAATAGTAAAAAAGTATCAGATGACATATTTGGTATACATTACAATGAAGGTAATGAAAAATTTTACATTGGTAAAAAACCAATAATTATTGAAGGTAATGATATAATTATTGAAGGTAAAAAATACATTGGTACACTCGGTCTTTGGGAAATCATAGTAAAATCTCATCCTGTTAAATATAATAACGATGATCGTAATAAGTATAAAGAAATTTTAAATCAAACAGATGCAATTCGCTCTGATTTAAATTCAGCTAAACCAAGATCATCTAAAGGTTATAAGTACACTAATGTAATAAAACCTATTTGGGAAGAGATGATTGGAAAGTCTGGAAAAGGAGTTGTTATTCTTCCTAGTGATCCAAATGCGTTATTTGATATGCTTAAATTACGCTTAGCTGGTTTACATGCAGGAAATACTGGAACAAGGAATGAGATTGTTGCTATTTGTGATGAGTTGTTACGACAGGGTCAAATAGATGATAATGAGTATAAAGCATTACAGAAAGCAATAATCACAAAGTGATTTAAAAAATTATTTTATATATAAAATGACAAAATACTATTATACTAATATCAATCTGTCAGATAGTCAGAATGAAAAAATTAAAAACGCAATTGAATCTGATACTAATGTTAGTATAAAACTATCATATGAAGATTTAAATGGTGAACACGAATTAGCGTTAACAGACTCACAAATAAACAGAATGGCAGCAGCCTATTCAAAAAATAAAGGTATAACACTTTTACTGAGTAGAGCACAACTTAAATATAATGTTAAAAAAAGTGGTAAAAAAGGTAATAAAATTGCTGGAAATGATAATAAAATTGATGGAAATGCTAATAAAATTGATGGAAAAGGTATTATTTATGGAAAAAAGGATGGTTATGGATTTAAAATTATAAAAGTAGGAAAAGGAGTATTTTTAAGCCCATGGAATAGTGGATATAATTATTCAGACGGATATTATTTAAAAAATGGAAATGATTATACATCAATAGGTAAAGAATTGTTATTAGGAGATAATTCTCCAATTAAGAGAGGTGGATTTTTACCTCTTCTAGCATTACTTGGAACAGCACTTGCAAGTGCTGCTCCAATAATTGCAAAGACTGCTGCAACAGCAGCAATAGCAGGAGCAGCAGGGGCAGCTGGAAATGCTATAGTTAATAAAATTGCTGGAAAAGGTATTATTTATGGAAAAAAGAATGGTTATGGAATTAAAATTATAAAAGCAGGAAAAGGAGTATTTTTAAACCCATGGAATAGTGGATATAATTATTTAGACGGATATTATTTAAAAAATGGAAATGATTATTCATCAGTTGGTAAAGGATTGTTACTAGGAAATAATTCTCCATTTAAGAAAATATCCTTTTTAGGTTCTCTTCTTTAGGAACTTGATCTTCATAAAAATATATATTTTTTAAAAAAATATATATTTATTGTTTCCACAAAGAAGTTGGATAATAAAATAAATCTAATCCACTTCTATACTTTCCATTTAATAAATCAGAAGACAAATCTATAGCAACAAATCCATGCTTTTTTGACCAAGCTTCATTACAAAACTTTTTAAACTCATCTAATTTCATATCATTTGAAACATGATCATTATAAATATGATTTACATTTTTAGAATCTTGTTTAAACAAGCAAATAAAATTCGCATTTTCTCTTATCGTTCTCCTGGGCAACTCAAAATAATTTTGTGCCAAG